TTACATTTATTTACAGCATATCCTTATAGAGGAGCAAGTCCTTGTGGCCTCCCAGGCCCTCAAAGATGAAGCGGCTAGCTTCGCCAGATCTCTTGCGCGTACAGCCGGTTGTGAAAACAACCTGGTTGCATATTCCAAAGTCACTCCTCTTTCCCAATTCCTCAAGCTCCTCAAGGAGCGTTTCGCTGACCCAACGAGAGGCATAAGAGCCTCTGACAAGCTTCAAACGATCCACTCACGACAGTGGAGGAGTGCCAAGGCACTCAAGGGTACCATGGACGACTTGGTAGCCGTCCCGGACCATGGGGTCACTGAGCCCCAGCTGGTTCAGTTGTTTTATCGTGCCATTCCAGAGGCCCTACGTGGGCATTTCTCGAAGTTGTCCTGTATGAGTCGAAGTCTATGCCAGTTACCACTTTCTGGCATAAGGACTTAGAGAAGGGGAAGAAGTGGAAGAATCGTACCATCTCAGGCTAAAGGCCAAGGATCACATGATCCTGACATTAGAAGAAGGTGGTACCGATAAGGTCCCATATGACCGGATTGAGTGGGGCCTTGAAGATGATGGCAGTAGTGTGGGGCAGGGGAGGTCTTACGCTGCTGTCGTGGCTGGAGGGAGGCCGCAAGGAGGAGGAGGAGGCCAAGGCCAAAGGGGCCAGGCCATGGGAGGCCAAGGACCGGGAGCACAGGGGGTTGGCGGACAGGGAAACCGCCAAGCGGGAGGTAGGGGTCAAGGTCCCCCGTCAAATCGCCAGGGTAATCGGTCCCCACAACGAAGAGGTGGAAGGGCACCTCAAGGAGGTTGGCACCCAGGCTTGCCACAGGGCAGGCCCTGGGAAGACTTGGGCTTGGACCGACAATTATGGCAGGAACGCGTGAACATGGGTGAGTGCGTATTTTGTGGTGACCCAGCGCACGTAATTAAATTTTGTCCTAAGTATAGACAGGCCCGTTGGGCTGCCCAGCAGTCAAAAGGCAGCCGCCAGTAGGGGTCGCAACTGCCCCTACTTCAAGGCCATGTGGAGAAGTGAGCGCGCGCGAACAGGACACTCCCAACCCRCRTGAGYYTATGGCAGAGGTTGCAGGCCCGTGCCTAGATAGCTGTCCAGAGACTGCTTGTGTTAGCGTTTCTTTAGGCACGTCCCTCACAGGTGTGGCAGAAGAGTTAAAGGAGAGGATGCCATCCTGGGCCAAAATGAAAAAGGAGAGTAGGGGACAACTGATCTTAGTAGATGTAGAGGTGTTTAGGAGTAGAGTAGGGGCCCTCATAGACTCAGGAGCTACCCGTAGTTATATTAGCTGTAGGGCGCTGAAGAAGCTGAGGCTAGGACTAAAGGTCCAGAAATTAGTAGACCCCATAGTCAGTGTCCTYGCAGACAACCGCASGATGCRCGTTGAGGACTATGTAGAGGGAGTCCAGGCGTACTTTCGCCTAGAGAAGGATGGGAAGGTGGAGAAAGTTCTCCATTCCCTAACTCTCCACATACAAGATGACCTTCCTTTTGATATAGTGTTGGGAATGGATTGGGGAGAGGCAGCAGGGGCCACACTTCATTTGAGAGAGTATGAGTGTAGGCTCCCTAGTCCGGCGGGCGAAGTTAAGACTGCCCGCTTGTTCCATGTGTCTGGTGTAGATAACACCTTGACACATTGTTGTCTCAGTGCTCCCGCATTCGCGCGATTAGTAAAGAAGGAGCAGTTAGAAGACCAGGTCTTTGTAGTTTATGTTAGACTTGTCACCGAGGCCCAGGAAAAGGATAGCTCCACAGATCCAACAATTGCCAAGCTGCTGGAAGAATTCAAAGACTTGACTGAGTCGCCAACAGGAGTAGTGTCGCGACCCATCCAGCACAGGATAGAGATAGAGCCTGGCAGTAGAACTCCTAAGGGTGCAGTCTACAGGATGTCCCCTAGAGAGTTAGAGAAGCTTCGCAAGCAGTTAGACGAACTCCTTGAGAAGGGTTGGATTAGGCCCAGTTCGTCTCCTTTTGGAGCACCAGTCTTGTTTGTCCCCAAAAAGGAAGAAGAGCTTCGTATGTGCATAGACTATAGGGGTTTGAATGCGATCACCGTGAAGAATGCTGAGCCGCTGCCCACGATAGACGATCTTTTAGATCGGGTGCAGGGTTGTAGGTACTTCTCCAAAATAAACTTGAAGTCCGAATACCATCAGATAGAAGTCCATCCTGATGATCAGTATAAGACTGCATTCCGGACTAGATATGGGCACTATGAGTTTATAGTGATGCCCTTTGGACTAACCAACGCGCCAGCCACTTTTCAGCGTTGTATAAATGACCTGTTTAGACCATGGTTAGATAAGTTTGTAGTAGTCTATCTAGACGATATCCTAGTTTTTAGTAAGACCCTCCAGGAGCAYCAGGGTCATCTGAGGCAGGTCTTGGAGAAGCTCAGAGAGGCTAACTTCAAGATCAACGCGAAGAAGTGCGAGTGGGCCAAGACGCAAGTTTTGTACTTGGGCCACGTATTAGACGGAGATAGCATCAAGCCAGAGGACAGCAAAATCGCGGCGATTAGAGATTGGCCGACGCCCCGCACATTGACAGAGTTACGGTCGTTCCTAGGCTTAGCTAACTACTATAGGAAGTTCGTGAGGAACTTCTCCACTGTCGCCGCTCCCTTGTGCCGATTGCTGAAGAAAGAGGCAATCTGGCAATGGGACAAAGACTGTACGTCTGCGCTCAAGAAGCTAAAGCGCGCGTTAATAGAGTATCCAGTCCTCAAAGTTGCAGATCCGTCTTTGCCATTTGTCGTCACCACGGACGCGAGTCAGTATGGGATAGGTGCCGTGTTGCAGCAAGACGACGACAATGGCTATAGACCCGTAGAGTTCATGTCAGCGAGGATGCCCTGTGAAAAGGTTGCTGTCTCCACGTACGAGAGAGAACTCTACGCTCTCAGGCAGGCTTTAGATCATTGGAAGCACTACCTGCTTGGGAGGCACTTCAAAGTGTATTCGGACCACGAAATGCTCAAATGGTTAAAGACTCAGGCCAAGATGACACCTAAGTTGACTAGGTGGGCCGCAGAGATAGACCAATTCGACTTTGAGCTCAAGCCAGTGAAGGGCAAGTACAACGTAGTTGCGGATGCTCTGAGTAGGAGATCAGACTACTTTGGAGCTGTAGTACACTATCTGGATATAGGGAGAGACCTGCAGGAGAAAGTGAGGCAAGCATATGCCCAGGACCCTATCTATAGCCACCTCCTAAAGAGAGTTAGAGAGGCCCCAGAGACTGAACCAGATTACCGCACTACAGACGGGTTGTTGTTTGAGAAGACTAATGTGTTTGACCGCCTGTGCGTTCCCAACAGCGGAGAGATCCGCAGTTTGATTTTAGGGGAATGCCACGATACTGAAGGGCATTTCGGTTGGCAAAAGACATTAGCCAACCTGATGCGTGCATATACCTGGCCAGGAATGAAGAATGACTGCATAGAGTATGTCCGCAGTTGTAAAGTGTGCCAGAGGAATAAGTCTACTACACGCGCGCCCCTAGGTCTTCTCAGACCCTTGCCTATTCCGGATCAGCCGGAAGACTCAGTGTCCATAGACTTCATGGACACTCAAGTCAAGAGCAGACATGGTAAGAGCCAAGTCATGGTCATAGTCGACCGTTTTAGTAAGTATGCAGTTTTTGTTCCTTTGCCTGCAGAGGCCCGTACAGATTTAGTAATACAGAAGTTCTTTGACTCTTGGGTTAGTGAGAATGGAATCCCATTGTCAATAGTTAGTGATAGAGATAGTCGTTTCACCAGCCAGAACTGGCAAGAACTCATGAGAGTCTATGGATCTAAGTTGTTAATGTCGTCCGGCCGTCACCCCGAGACTAACGGTCAGACAGAACAGATGAACAAGATCCTACAGCAAGTTCTGCGCATGTATATTAGACCAGATCAGATCAACTAGGATGAGATGTTACCCAAGGTCGCTAGTGCGTACAACAACAACGTGCATCTATCCACCTGTTGCACTCCCAATGAGTTGCACAAGTCCTTTAGACTGCGCAGACCATTCGAAGCACTGAACCGGGATCAGATTCACAGATTACCGCCCGGTACCAGGGAGTTTGCGATACAGCGCGAAAAGGAGTTAGCCACTGTTGTTGAGAACCTTCGGAAGGCTCAGCACAGAATGATAGAGCAGGCTAACAAGCATCGTCGCCCATCACAGTTTCAAGTAGGCGACTTAGTCTGGGTCAAGGCAAAAGAGTTTGCACCGGAAGAAAACATCTCGCAGAAGTTACTGCCTGCATATAGAGGACCGTGGCCAGTTCTAGAAGTCAAGGGCGGAGAGGATGGACCGTCCTACAACATTGAGATTTCAGCACACCTCCACACATACCCTGTGTTTCATGCTTCAAAGCTACTGCCGTGTGTCACTAGTCAACAGTTCCCTTCGAGGAGATCCATGATCCCACCGGATATGGATGGGTGCTATGACATAGAAGGCATTGTAGAAGAGGATGTGTTTAGGACAAGAGGTAGAGGTCGTCCCCAAAAACATTATAAAGTCCGGTTTGCCTATCAGGAACCGGAAGACAACCGCTGGTTCACAAAAGCAGAACTTCTAGAGACTGCTCCCGACATAGTCAGAGCCTATGAGCGTGACAAGAAATGTAAAGGTCCCGCCTTGGACTGAAATTTTCTCAGAGGACCTCGAAATTAGGACGGCGGGAGTGAAACGGTTTTCGCCTTTTTGCAGTGGCGGATGCAGTCCCCAGGGTTCGATCCCTAGACCTCACCCTACCTGTGTACAGTATCTGTGTAGATCCCGAGAATTTAACCTGTGACCTGTGTATTCGTAGGCAGTTGGTAGGCCTGTCGTAGGTCCATAGGCAGCAGGGGTTCGATCTGTAGGTCTATAGCGTAGGAGTCTTAATGAGTTCCGGAAGCTTAGCTGTAGACCTTCTAGAAGGTAGGCAAGTGGGCAAGTGGTCAAGTGGTGAGGCAAGTGGTGGACTCAACCGCAGTGCAACAGCAGTACAACGTCGGTAGGATAGCGGTGAGTCCACAGTCAGTTAGCAGAAGGTCTAGTCAGTCCCAGTCCGGTCCAGCAAGTACCACAGGGGGACTGTGAGCACCAAGGGCCGATGGCAAAGGGCAGACCAACGAGTTTCTGAAGTATAAATCAAGAGGCAGCGCCCAGCCATTCATTCATTCCTGCGTGAGCCACGCGGAAGTGTTGCCACAGCGACTTGTGCAAGGAGGTCTGCAGATGAGCCCGGAGGACGCAGTGGGCAAGAGAGCGGGAGTTAGCATAACGATAGGTTAGATGCAGCGATAGCTTCCATAGCCTGTAATAAGTAGTGAGTGTGTGTGTGTGTTCGAGTGTTAGAGTGATGCGTGTGGGATATCCAGGGTGACCCAGTGTATGTGAACAGTGAGATGTTTGGGCGCTGAAGTCGCCATAGCCAATTGAGAGTGAACTCGTATCTGAAAGCCATATCTCCGAGTTTTGAGTGGGCGCATATCGCCAGTATGCTGCGTTGCTGTTTACATGTATGAAAAGTGTGTTTGAGAACGAGTCTGATTGCACAATCAATCAATCAATCAATCAATCAATCAATCAATGGAAAAGGGGAGAGAGGGCCTTCTTGACTTATTGACTGATTAAAAAAATAAAAAACAGAAAAAGGGGGTTTGTAGAGGGCCTGCTTGCGACCCTTCCCCTCTCAACGCACCATACTCTCCACCCTTGTCCTCTCTCCTCCTGCCTCCTTCCTCCTCCTTTCTCCCCTCTCCTCCTTCCTCCCTCATGTCCTCTCCTCCTTCCTCCCTCCTGTCCTCTCCTCCTCACTTTCATCATCGATATCACAATCACTTATTTTCGGAAATTGTGAGATTGATGCTGAGATGGTCGTCGCGCCAACTCAGTGCATTTACCATTTTTGCCACTCTTTGACGTGAGGGCCAACGAAAAAAGTACCCTAACTTCAATGTTTTTTCATAGTAAGAAGAATACGTTAAAAATCGTGAAAACTAAAGGGCCTGTAGATTAAGTTGTGATCTTTCCACAAAAAATATTTTTAAGAAATAAAAAAATAATTTCAACCGTCAAATAACCACTGCGCGAATTCGTCACTTTTTCCATTTTTGCTGCTATGCCATGTGCCAGCCAATTACAAAAGTCCTGCATCTTCTGTGATTTCTTGAGCTCATAAGAACATAAGAAAAAATATAAAAATTTCAGAGTCTATAGATTTCGTTGTGATCTTCTTAGGAAAAATATTAGGAAAAATCTTACAAATCGTTTTAATTATAAAATGCCTCATGGTGGAGATTCGATACATATTTCATTTCTGTCATTCGGTCGGTTTTTCACTCTGCAAGGTTAGGGTTTCGACACACAGATACATCATGACGTGCCAGCTGCCTGACACGGGATATACTTATGAAAAAAAAATGGTCCCCAAAATCACAAAGGGACCCAATTTGCCTCAATGGTTATCTCATCGAGCAGTTAGGTTTCTTAAATTTGTGCATGGGTTCAACCCCAACTACAAGAGTCAGCAACAAACTTTAAAATATTAATATTAATGTGTGTGTGAGTTCGTGGGTGGGCGGGCGCGTGCGTGCATATGTGCGTGTGTGCGTGGGCGGTCGGGCGGGTGTGTGTGTGTGCCCCGGGCGGAAATTGGGTGCCGCACCCGAAAAACACTTTTCTTTTTCTTATTTGTGAGCGGGATGGTACGAAAACGAAAAGTGGGTGTCGTGCCGTGCAAAAAACGTTTTTCTTTTTTTTTTTCCGTGAGCGGGGCGGGTTAGAAAATGACAACGGCATGCGAAAAGGAAAACACACATAAGAAAACGAAAAAAAAWAAACACTCCAAACGACACCCAAAAGAGGGGAAAAAAAAGCARAAAAAAAAAAAAAAAAAAAAAACCGCCTACTTATCGGACGGCTCACCTCCCATATATTCATCCGCATCAACGCCGCCCGTGTGCCCCGCCCCTGGGGGGGCGCACCCGCGTTTGATGGCACTCTGTGAACATTTTGGTACTCGCACCGCTCTGCACACACTCCCCCGCCCTCGATCCCCTTCATCCGTCGCCCCTCATCAAAACTTTAACCCAAATCCGGCTCGCAGCACGTCATGGACTTCCCTCCTCGGCCAATGTTGCTTAAGGGATAGGATAATAAATTATAAAAAATAAGATATGTCATGCACGTATCAAGTTTGCCAATTTAGGAATTTGAGAATTGTGACAAGATCAAAAGAGCATAATCTCAAGCAATGTCAATGCAAGCAAATCAAGACTGACTGGTGCAAGGCAAGGGCAGAATGAATGAGGGAAGGTGAAAACTCATTATAATCTCATCAACTACAAATGAATAGACATGGCCAACACTCATCAAGAGTCCTCACTTTCCCTGTCAAGTTTCAATTTCAATCTCTCATTTGGCCTTGAGTCCCTTGTGCCTCGAGCCACGTCTAAGGCCTTCCTAAGATCGTGGTCTAGTAATATAGAGCCACCTGAGGCCCATGAGTTCCAAATAGGTTCATCTAAGGTCAAAGATTCAAAACTCAAGCATAGCATATTGAGATATACCTCTTTGCCAGTTCAACCAAATCACCGTCAATGAGGTCAAAATGGATCGGAGGCCTGGGTAGTTAGAGTATAGCTTGGGGCCAAAACTATGGATCATCCTCGTACTTTTCTAAAGCACTCGTTCTCTCTCTTCAACATGCCGAGCTCCAGTAACCCAGACGGAGTCAAAGTGTCCATGCGTCTCCTTCCCCTTCTTCACATAGATTCTCAGATCTTGGATTGTTCCCTCTGCAAACTCAGTGAGAACCACGAAGATTGACAAATCTTCCCGTCTGAAATCGACTACACTAGCATGTCGATATTGGAAAACATCCTTGAAAGCAATCCTGTTGAGACTAATTAGGACCGACTGACTGATAGAAAATGAAGTGATGGCACTCATGTATTGAAAGGAAAACTCGAACCGAGTCGACTGAGAGGAGTCTGAAAGAAATAGGAAAATTGTGTTGATAGAAAATCCACTGACTCATGAGAGCACTGATTAACCGATATCGATATGAGAACTGATTGATAACAATTGAACCGTAATAAAATTTGGTCTCCGACCACTGATGAGGGAAGCGTGGTAGTCTCCTCGGAAATAGTCTGGTTGAGGCCAATTATAATTGATTCCTCAACAAGAAAGACCAAACTGAGTTCGGGGGAAGGGCTCCTGGGATCTTTCAGGCTCTGTCAGTGGTCACGTGTAAAGATCATTATCAATGACGAAGTTGAATGCAAGAGAATTGATTAATGCTTGCTGATCATGATGGTAATGATTGCATGGATGCTAACTGATGCTTGTTGTGAAGTGCGTGGCTGATTTGCTGAGATATTAGAGGAGTGTTATCTCAATCTAAACTCATTGACCATTGATTACTTTTCTTGCTCTTTGCATGGTTTCCAGGGATGAGACTGTGCTGAATGGTTCCCCATCTGATCCATGAATATAAAATATGTACTCGATGAAAACATGACAATTCTTTACATTTCCCACTGCAATCCATCTCAACGATTCTTTGTAGGTTTCAATCTCATCGAAGATTCTACCCTCTAAGTTTTCTGCTTTGTTTCAGTCAGGGGTACTGGGTATCAGGAGCGTCTTTCTTCCAATTATGTTTGTTTTATCTCCCCCTTTTCCTCTAACCGTGGAGGTCATGAGTTTAACTTATCAGATAAGGAGAGGAGAACTTAGCTTGATCTAATGCTAAAAGTGTTGGCAAGAGACTAAGTCACTCAAAGACTCGGAATAGACCTTCTACTGTCCAGTCTCAGTTGAATGTTTTTCTCACTCTCACTAGGCACAATGGTTTGTAGGATTATGACTCAGATTGCACACATAGCGGAGTGCTACATGCTCATTGTGCAAGGAGTCATTTACAATCAACATCTAACTGCCACACTTCATGCTGTCATCAATGACCCCCTCCCAGATGCTGCTCTAAACATCG